GAAGGCAACAGGTGGAGCTCGAGAGAGTGGAAGTGATGCTTGGAAACAGTACATGAGACGATCAACAGTCACTATCAATTATGGAAATGAATAGCCATTGGCACAGGTCATTAAATTCGAATGATAATAAATTAATGAATGAAAATTTTCCCCTCATCACCAAGATATCGATGATGATCGTCATCACCATCATCACATTCTTCCCCTCGTGTTTCACAGACTGACTATCATCTTAAAAATTATTTTAAAAATCATGAAAATAAATCATCAAGTCTAAAGTGCTATTAACAATCCTGAGTTTAATTATCGAGGGAGAACCTGATGAAGTCCACCTGAATGTCGACAGACGCTTTCTCGTGGAATTTGTACACTCGAGGTAGATCATAACGAAGTTCAGCGACAACAGTACCCTTTGCCCCCAGCTGTTGTCCTATTTTCAAAACGTGATTTCTCGTTGATGTTTCGTGGAGGGAGTAGACTGTGGTCTTTGCTAATTTCGTGGCTATCTCCAGGAACTCCACGTCAATACCAGCGTTTATCTTCGTTCCAAAGGGGGGTATTCATAATCCCAGTGTCAAAGGCCTGTTCAAACCCCCCTGGAACCCAAAAAAATCGTCATCTGTGTTCACTTTCTCCCTCAGTTGATCGAGTCACTGTCCCCAGCCTCTGGGAAGACGATCGCAAAAATCCGTGAGTCCACCCCCCAGGAGGCCAGCAATGCGGTGACAGAAGCGAGGAAGGCCTGGCCCCAGTGGTCGTCCCTGCCCCCGCCAGCACGAGGTGAAATCGTCCGTCAAATCGGCGACGAACTCCGGAAGAATCTCCGACCACTGGGTCAACTGGTCTCCCTCGAAATGGGGAAGATCCTCGCCGAGGGCATCGGCGAGGTCCAGGAGTACATCGACATCTGCGATTACGCCGTCGGCCTCTCCCGGATGCTCCCAGGGAGCATCTTCCCTTCCGAGAGGAAGGACCATGCTCTCCTCGAAAAGTGGAACCCCGTTGGAGTCGTCGGAGTCATCTCGGCATTCAATTTCCCCATCGCTGTGAGTTCAGCATGTTGAGCCGTCCTCAGGGCGATTTTTCCTGGCACTCACTCATTATTTCAACAGGTCTACGGCTGGAATAGCGCGATAGCCATGGTCTGCGGTGACGCTGTTGTGTGGAAAGGATCTCCAACGACTCCACTGGTCTCCATAGCAACGACAAAAATCATCGCCAGTGTCCTCGAACGCAACGGCATCCCTGGCTCGGTGGCTGCACTGGTGACTGGTGGAGCCGACGTTGGAGAGGTTCTAGTCAACGATAAACGGTAATAAAATTGCAGGCAGCTGCATCTTCGATCCGATGGCTTTCCTGCGTTCTCGAATTTCCCAGAAACTCCTTGCATTCCCTCGAATTTTCTAGAAACTCCTTGATTTTTTTTCGAAATTTCAAGAAACTTCTTGAATTACCTCGAAATGTCTAGAATTTGACGTCAACATAACTCGATCTTCTTGCAGGAATGTCAAGAAGAGATTTTTTAATAAGAGGATTTCAAAATTTCAACTGTGCTTGCAGCCTACCCTTGATCAGCTTCACTGGAAGCACTAAAGTCGGTCGAGAGGTCGCCCTGAAGGTCCAGGAACGTTTTGGAAAGTCTCTCCTTGAACTTGGGGGCAACAATGCACTCATAGGTGAGTAGTAATTATTTTTTTTCATTAACGTATAGCCGATTAGTGAAAGAGATGATGTCTTTGTATATATTCAATATTTATCCAGTGAAAGTGTGGAAAAAATTGTTGGTGTTTACATTCGGCCGTGAAATTACGGCACAATATTACGATTTGAAAATTTGTCTATTTGCTGTTGCCGTTGAATCCCAATTAAGAATACATATTTTGTGGTATTTATATAATAAAACAAGCTCTATTACTCTTCATTAAATACCCAAAGTTTTTTATTTGAAATTTTGTAGCATGTTAAAAGCAGTTGTAATGAATTAAACTAGTAAGAAAACAACAAAATGATGAATTGAAATGTGATGAAATAAAATTAATTAAATGGAGTGATAAAATGTTTAATTCATCATCAATTGAAAATTTAAATCACTTCATAAATTATTTTACTATTCTTACATTTCGACGAGTATATTTAAACCTCAATAAATATAATTCGGAAATTTTAGTAATTAATCCAGTAGCGAAGTGGTAAAACGGTTCAAGTCGATTTTGACTATTGGCCAGTTTTTAGTGAATATCTCGGAACGTAAGGGAGATAGTTAAATTTTTATCGAGACCTTTTTTGTAGCACTCAATTTGCTCTAGAAAAAAGGTCATTACGAAAATTCCATTATCTCCTTCAGATTCGGAGATATTCGTCAAAAACTCAACTGAGAGATCAGTCTACTTAAACCGTTTTACCATTTCGCTACTGAATTACATTCTTGTCATTCAATTAATAGCAGAATTGTAATTGAATAATGAATATCTCGATCATCTCCAGTGGCTCACGACGCGGACCTGGAGATGGCTGTCCGTGCAGCTGTCTTCTCCTGCGTTGGAACAGCTGGGCAGCGCTGCACCACCACCCGAAGACTGATTCTCCACTCGAACATCAAGGATGAGTTCGTTGGGAGATTGAAGATAGCGTTCAAGAGTATTTTGGCTAGAGTTGGGGATCCACTTGAGGATAACACGTTGTACGGACCCCTTCACAATCAGGGAGCTGTTGACAATTACAAAGTGAGCAGAGAGTGTAATTAAAAAAATCTGAGATTGAGGAGTGGATCATTGAATTTACGAAAAATGGATTTATGAATTTTCTAGGCAACTGTAGCTGAGGCTATGGCTGCCGGTGGCACCATTGAATTCGGCGGCAAGCAGATAGACCGTCCAGGGTTCTACGTAGAGCCCACGATAATCTCCGGTCTCCCGAACGACGCGGAAGTCGTGCAATCCGAGACTTTCGCCCCGATCGTCTACATTCTGGAGGCCAATTCCATCGAGGATGCCATTGCCCAGAATAATAATGTTGAGCAGGGACTCAGCAGCTCACTCTTCACCAAGAATCTCTCAAACGTCTTCCAGGTACATCAACACAGATTAATCAAATCCACGATTATAAAATGCCCATTTTTTAATCAACATGAAAAATCAATTTTTACAAATTTCGTATTTACAGTGGATTGGTCCACACGGCTCAGACTGTGGAATAGTAAACGTGAACATTGGAACTAGTGGAGCTGAAATAGGAGGTGCATTTGGTGGTGAGAAGGCAACAGGTGGAGGTCGAGAGAGTGGAAGTGATGCTTGGAAACAGTACATGAGACGATCAACAGTCACTATCAATTATGGAAATGAATTGCCATTGGCACAGGGCATTAAATTCGAATGATAATAAATTAATGAATGAAAATTTTCCCCTCATCACCAAGATATCGATGATGATCGTCATCACCATCATCACATTCTTCCCCTCGTGTTTCACAGACTGACTATCATCTTAAAAATTATTTTAAAAATCATGAAAATAAATCATCAAGTCTAAAGTGCTATTAACAATCCTGAGTTTAATTATCGAGGGAGAACCTAATGAAGTCCACCTGAATGTCGACAGACGCTTTCTTGTGGAATTTGTACACTTGAGGTAGATCATAACGAAGTTCAGCGACAACAGTACCCTTTGCCCCCAGCTGTTGTCCTATTTTCAAAACGTGATTTCTCGTTGATGTTTTGTGGAGGGAGTAGACTGTGGTCTTTGCTAATTTCGTGGCTATCTCCAGGAACTTCATGTCAATACCAGCGTTTTTCTTCGTTCCAAAGGGGGGATTCATAATCACAGTGTCAAAGGCCTTTTCAAACCTCCCTGGAACCCAAAAAAATCGTCATCTGCGTTCACTTTCTCCTGGAATTCTGTCCTCACCTGGCAGAAACTGGAGGACATCGCACTGGACTGCCTCCACACTCAGTTCAATGTCCTCGCAGTTCCTGGAGAGTATCTTCAGGGCGTCGGGATCGACCTCGAACCCCACGACGTAACTAGCCTCCAGCATTCTAGCCCCCAGGGACAGCACCCCACATCCAGCCCCCAAATCGGCAATTCCCTTCCCCTCGATGTCGTCGAATTGCGTCTGGGCTGTGTACAACAGGTGGGCGCCGATGTGGGCACTCGTGGGGTACTGCTCCAGGAGGACTTTAGGGCTCTCGAAGACCTCCAACTGCTGCAGGTACTGCTCCAGCTCTTTCATCCGTAGGGAAGCCATTTGTCAATCGAATTTAAGAGAAAGGGGAAGGAAGTATTTTCAGTTTTTTAGGAGGGCTGGATCCTGGAGGGGCCAATCCTCACTTGGGGTCGAAACGAGGGAGCACTGGGAGTATTAGATTCCCGAAGGATGAGTCTTGGGTGACGAAGTAGCCGAATGATGCTGCGTGAGCACTGTTCAGGGCATTACGTTGGACCGCCGTCATCGATCCATCTCCAGACGCTGATGTGGACTGGAGAAAATTGGGAAATATTATTTTCCTTGGGGTCTTGGCGGCAACAGTCATGTCAAGAGACACTACCCATTAAAATGTCTCGACATTTTCCCCTAATTCACTCATTACTGAGACGAATGCGTAATTAACAAAGCTCAACGAAATTCAGGGTATGAAAAACATGCCACTGGACTATGGGATTATCTCGTTAACGGGGGGTTTTAGAAGAAAATGTCAAAAGGGCTTTTGTGGTTGGAATTCAATTCTGTACAGAAAAGGTCCTTTGGGGTTTTTCGCTAGAACCACTCATTAACGAGATAAGCCAACAGTTCAGCGAAATCGTAGTTTCTCTCTCGGTGACACGACCAACATTTTTCAACTACGACATTTCAACTAATTTGTCTGCTTTAATGATTCAAATTAATTTTTGGTCTCCCTCAATTACTCCAGAGAAAATGTCAAGGCATTTTCCCCCCATAATGAATCCAACAACTCCATGAATATATTTGCAATAATCGGGGAAATGGGAGAATTATTCCCAACTCTCTGTTCCTTACTGGGCTAGCAGCAGACGAAGTGGACGGTAAATTGAGGGAACTCGAGAGTGTGGGAGCAACCCCCTGCTTGAGGAGCATCTGCTTCTTCAGCTGCAGTTCCTCCAAAATCTTCTTATTCTGCAGATCTGCAAAGAAATATTGAATTACTCGTCCCCGACGAAGAAATAAAAATACATTTCCTCAATTTACCTCTGGAATTTTGTTGTGAGAAAGCCATTAAATTCCTCCGAGTCAAAATAACAGAGGTTATATTCTCGTCTGGAGAATCCTCGAATGAGACGTTACCGACCGAGTGGAGCCATATCTCCAAAACAAATAGATTTTTTCTCCATTTTTTTTTCACAGAGTGAAGACAAGTTATGACGAAAAAAAATCAGGGACGAAAAATTTCATGGAATTATTATTATCCGATAATAATAATATAATGGAATGTATGAATAACTGATGCATGAATAAATATATATTATTTCTCTTTTATCATCCTAAACTGGACTCCCAACGGGAATAATAATGAGTATGTACACAATACATTAAATTGTAACTAATCTATATACAAATTTCAACAATTTCCATCGTCTAAAATTCGATTAGAGTTATAATCCCATGTACTGGGGTGACGATGAGAAGTTGTTCCTCACGGAGTTGCTCTTCTTTGAGTCCTCATTGGGATGATCTCTGGAAGATCAATAAATAGTTGAAAAAAGTAGCGTCACATTTGCATAATAAAATTCATGTCATTAATATTTTCAATTTAGTTGAGTAATATTTAAAGATAGTGAAATAGGTAGTTAAGTAAGCTGTGCCTAGCTGTCTGAGCCTGAACTATAACTGTGAATTACAAACTAGTAGTTCATTATTTTTGCTCCATGGAAAATTTATAAAATCTTTGCTTTCATTTGTATTTTGTCCCAATTTAAAATTTTGATGTGAGGAATTCCCTCAAGAACAATAAATAAAATGAAATAAAATAAAATAAAATCAATAAAATAAGTAAATAAAATAATTAGATTCATGTCTTTAATGGATACATCTGAAAAAAATTCTAATGGCATTTTTTTTAAGGAGAAACCCCAATTGTTCAAGGATTTAGTGAAGACTTTGTCTCTCACCCGAAGAATGGCATCAGCGAAATGAGCGTCTGCTTGCTGGGCCGCATGATAAATGCTGGTGAGCACTGAGCTAGCCTCCCAACCACTCGCCTCAGCCACTGCTGCAACTTCTGCCTTCTGTCCTCAACGAATTTGGCATCTTTATTGCCAATTGTCTTCTTCGGTGGAAATTCAAACGTCGTTACTATCGCGTCGTGTTTCTTCAGATCGCGATGGAGTGCGTGGAACTGGGCATAGCGACGATAAATATTCCACTCGACGTCTCTGATCCTCACGTATATCTGGGGGAATTGAAGGCGATTACAGTCTTCCAAAGAGATAAATTAATTGGAGTGAAGTGAAGAATTTTTCTCCAGAGGCAGTGATTACCGAGATGATTCCACAATCAAAATGTTAAATAAATGATTACAATTGCTTGTTGAAAGTTAATCTTTCATTCTCCTTCTGCATTAATCCAGAACTCACGTCTCTGTAAACTTAATCTACTTTACTTATTCTAAATTAAATAAAAAATGGTAAAAAAAATTGATAATCTAAATTTTTGATTGACAATGAATTAAATAATTCATCATATGGCACTGTCAATAGTCCATTGAGTAAATAACACTAAATTTAACAGTAATTCCAATTAATTAATTAATTCCCATCATTATTACTATCATTATATTTTACTGAAAAGAATTATTATCATTTCAAATAATTGATTTTTCAGTTTTATAATTATTACATTTCATTATTATTACTATTATTATTATTATTATTTTGTACAAAAATAATAATAATAATAATAATAATAATAAGACAAATAAATTATCAATTAAGTGAATTAATTAATTAATTAAATAGAATTACTGTTAAATTTGAATTTATGTTAACAGAGATAGTTATAAATAAATAAATAAATTAATAATTAAATTTTAAAAAAAATGAAAAAAAAAAATTATTTATTTTTAAATAAATGAATAAATTAATAATTAATTAATTAATTAATTTATGACTATCTCTGTGGTCCTCAGGGCTCGATGAATCATCAAATAACTTCTTTTAAAATAAAAATTAAACCTGATAAACATGATGAACATCAGAATTCTGTCCCGTCAAGAATGCACTGGGAATCCAAATATGAATGAGACACCCTCCCCCACCCCCCTCCTCGTAGCTCTCATTGAGCGGGCCTCTGAGGCACTCCAGTTCGGCCTGCAGCCTCTTCAGCAGGTTCTCCCTGCGCCCCAGCTGCATGGTCAACCGATTATTGAACTCCATCAGCTCCGCATGCATCTCCGCCACCTGCACGAGCTTCTCCTGGTACTGCTGCGCCTCAAAATGATAATCCAGCCCCCTCTCGCCGTCCTCCTCGCTGCCCTCCTGAAGGGAATCCGAGTCACGTCTCAGCATTTGCACAGCTGTCACGTACTTCCTCAGCTGTTGCCTGAGTAGTTCGTTCTCTCTGTTGAGGGCCTGCACCTGGACCTCGTGCCTCTCGAGATAATTTTGATGCTGTCTCTGGAGCCTGGCGAGTTGCATTCTACTGGTGACAGCGTCCTCACGACAATTCTCGAGGACCTCCCCCATGGCGAGGAGCCTCGTCCTGAGGGACTCGACGTCCAATTCCCCAGGATCAAGATGTGGATCGAGCCCCAGGGGTTCAGTGGCCTCGATCGCAGGCTCGGGATCGAGAAGATCGGGCTTGAGGGACTCCTGGAGGGACTCGAGGTAATTCGACGAGACGAAATCGTCGAGGGTCTGGTCCAGGGGGGACACTGGCAGCAGTCCCCCGAGGCTCCCCACGTCTGTCAGTGGGGTGAGTACTCTGGTGTCGTCCTGAGGGTCTCCAGGGGCGCCTCCAGGTGCCCCCCCAACCGATGGAACAGCCCCAGAATCCCGAATTTCCTGGGATTTTCCTGGAGACGTCGATGAGCTGGAGGTTTTTGGTGGCTCTGGGGGTACTGAGGCACCTGGGGGGCTCGTCTGGCCTTGGGGGTGGTCTCCACCTGCACCACCAGGTGGATAAATCAGGGAGGCATCCCCAGGACGATGGGTTCCCTCGAAATTCCCTGGAGACGAGGACTGATAATTTTCCCCAGGTCCCTCAACATCTCCGGGGTTAGTTCCCCCTGAAGAGGTCCCTGAGAATTGACTATCAGGTCCTGGGGAATTTAAACAGGTTGGCGGAGCACTCAGGGACACGCAGTTGTTGATACTGTCGTTATCAGACTCTATTTCGTCGTCGAAGGAGATAATGTGCGTTGGAATTCGTCTCTTGCTGCGTCCAGACCCCTCAGGATGATTGATCACTGACGAGGAGATGATGGGCTCACTCTGGGACGTTCCATTGCGCCTGTCCGAGCTCCAGGATCTGTCGTCGAGGTCCTCGTTGTCGATTCTTATTGCGAAGACTATTGTCCCCAGGCCTGCAGCCACATTTGGCAGCAGTTGGCTGCGCTCCTGGTCCAGCAGGAAGGACCAGTCCTCGTAGAAGGGGCTCAGCGTGCCTGAGTTGATGATTGAGTGGAGGTGACGCTCCAGGGAACGCTCGTTCAGCGCTGCACGCAGCCAGGCTCTGCCGCGGCCAAAGTCTGTGTGGACTTTTCTCAGGATGCTGAAGCGCTCCTGCTCGTGCCAGGTCAGCTGCTCCTTGATGCAGGGCCAGAAGGCTGGCTCTGGGGCGGCCTTCGAGGCACCTGACACCAGGTCTGACACGTGACTGAAACGACGGGAGATGTTTTGTCATTTTCTCGAGAATGACTCTTTCAGACAAAAAGAATTTTTTCCCAGTGGCGAGAGGGAGGGACAATCCAAGTGAACGAGAATAAAGGGAAACGGCTACTTCCCTCAACTTTTTGTTCTACTTTTTTTTAATAAAGTTTTACTATTGTTAATTATTAATTTAAAGAATAGGGGAGTTGGGGAAAACGGACTCTTTTGACTTTTTTTAAAATGTTAATGAAGGATTGAAATGTTGATGAAATTTAATAATTTTTTTTTTAATACAAAGAACTAGTGGTTCTTTGTATTGAAATTATTCTTATTCTCGGAGTCAAAAATCTCAAAAAACTATTTTTTATTTTCTTCATTGAAACATTAATCTTTAATCAATTGAAGATAATTTTAAACGAGACTTTGCGATTGTACCGGAGAGCCAAGTTGAGCTTGTCAATGCCCTTGGTCTTCAAGCCATGACGGAATATCGCCTCGAAGGAGTGGCAGAGTCTGGAGACACACTGGTCTGACTCAGTCGCCAGCTCCATTCGACCTCCGAACCTCACGTGACAGGATTTAGCTGCCCCGAGGAGCTCTTCCTGGAGCTTCTCTCGATCAGCTGGGTGATTCGCCTCGGGGGGGAGGTCCGAGGGGCTGGGGACCATTGCTGACATCATACGAAGCGCCTGGAACAATTATCACGAGGAATACAACAGATTTTTAATGAAATTTACTGATGAAAATCGAAAAATGAAGAGAGTAAGGGAATTTAATCAATTCTTCCATTAAAATTCCAACTTTTTCGTTGTTTATAATTTCTTGAAACGAAAATCACAATTAATTTGAGACAAAAAATACAGTGAATCGAGGAAATCAAATTTTCACGATTTTTTTTTTTCAACTAAACTTTCAATTTTTTAATTTTCCATAATTTCTTGAGATGAAAAATCCAATTAATTCAAGAGGAAAAGAAAACGTCTCAATGTTTGAATGAAAAATTCAGAGAAACCTCTACGAAATCCCCCGTATCCACGAATTTTCCCTCAATTTTCCTTCTCAAAGATAAATAAAATGCATTTTACCATTGATGCCTGATTCAAAGTCGATAATAACAATTGTCCTTGTGGAACCAGAGTAAGCCTTCTAATCAAAGGCCATGTGTCCCCTCATCCGTTCCCCGTCTCGTTTTTCCCCGATTACCCAAGAAAAATACGCAGCTGATTTTCACAGCCAATGATCGAGCATTATTTCCCTTTTCCACAAATACTCGGTATTGAGATCAATAGGAGCTACAAAATTATCGTTTTCCCTCATTAAAATGTCACTTTCCCTTCACCCAGTCCTCACTTCAAGGTCCTCAGGTCCTCGGCACAGCCGATTATCCAGCGATTTTCCCGGAAAATCGGGTGACACTGTCAATTTTCCATTGACAATTCCCAACTGACACTGAATGCTGATTTTCCCTGACGTTTGACAGAAATATACACAATGAAAATCGTGACAGATTTTTTTGCCCGCGGAGGGGCAGCCACCGGAATTTCCCAGCGCGAACACGAGATGGTGATAGGCGGAGTTTCTAGTCACGTGTCGTGGAAAATTAAAAAAAAAATTGAAATGAAAAAAAATTAAAGAATCATCGCAGCACACCCCACCCAGCTCGAAGCAATGTAAAACAACAATAAAAAAACGTGGCGGGAGCCAAAAACGTATTATTTCGAAATTTGGTTAACGCGTCTCGAATATTTTATACCGTCATATTCGAGACGGGCATCATTCTGTGGTTGTCCCTCACGATATTTTTGGACGGTTCTCGAACCTTCCATAACAGCAGGTATTTGAACCAGTTACCAGATCGTGACGTCACCCCATTTAAAATTGTACAGGTTTTGGATATAAATCGCCGAAATCTGGCAACCCTCATTTGAACTCGCACGTTCCCTGACGCTGAGTCAGTCAGTCCAGTTAAATTCAGTCCGATTTATATATTCGATGTAAACACATCTCTGCGAAAAATACATCGCCTTTATATTCCACAACGACGAGTTATTATTGTGTCTCTATACACCCAACCGCCACAAACGCCTTTATATTCCACAACCACAAGTTATTATTGTGTCTCTATACACCCAACCGCCACAAAACCCCCATCAAAGGATTGAAAAAAACATAAACATCGTCCTCTCATCATCTTTATTCCTAAAATTACAAAAACCATAAAAAACGCCTGCACAAACGAGGAGCCCCCGAAGCCTCAGTGATCCCGATTCCACCTCCAAATAGTGGCATCATCACACACGCAGAGAAGAACACTGCCATCCCTGCTGAGGCTGGTCTGCCTGATGGGCGCGGTGCACCTGGGATGCTGCAGTGAGAAGCACCTCGCCTGTCCGGGCTCATCGACCTCCAGATCCCAGACATAAGTCCTCCCCACCTGGTTCCCGAGAGCAATCGTCTTCTGCCAAAAGTCCATGGAGAACCTGATAAACCAAATGTCACACTCTTTAAACTCAAACCTATGCAAAACAGTGGCACTAGTCTCATTATTCCTCAATTGCAGATCCTCAAGTCTCCCCGGCTTCCAGCAGACGATGCAGTTCTCACAGCTCTTGCTCAGGATGAAGTCCCCATACCACTTGACACAGTCGACGTAGTTCCTGTGAACATCTCTGGTGGTAAAGTCAGGAAAATGCTGGAGGACAGAGTCAAAGGGGCGTCCATTTCTCGTCGGATTGCAGAAGTAACTCTGCTTGATGGCCTCGTGCATGTCAGGCTTGTCGAGATTCCAGAGCTTCAAGGCATGATCCATCCCGCAGGATATGATCCTCTGTCCCTTCATATCGAAATCAGCACTGAGCACCTCATCCCTGTGGCCCTCGACCCCTCCGAAGATGGCAATGCACACGTCTGACTTGATATTCCAAAGTCTCAGGGCATGATCCTTGGAGGCTGACAGCAGGATGTTGGGGTCCTTTGGGTGGATCTTCAGCTCATTGATGGCATGCCCGTGACCTATGTAATGCTTGACGCAGGTCATTGTCACTGGGCTGATCACCCTGATGACACCTCTGGAGCCAGCCACTGCCAGCAGTGGTTTTCCAGACTCGTCGAAGGTCCAGGCGCACGTGTAGAAGTTCTCCTCTGGGTCTGGATCGGCGTAGCACTGGCGCAGGCGAATGTTGGCGCCCTCTGGGCACTCGTAGATGCTCACCCTGTTGCTTCCCACTGAGGCGAAGATCATGGGCTCTCCCTCCTTCAGGTGGTGGTTGAACTGCACGCCGAAGAGGGGCTGGCCGTGATCCTCCTTGATGCTGCAGCAGTACTTGTACAGGGGCTTGTCGTTGCAGGGCTTCGACTTGGCTGTTTTGCTGCGTCTCCGGCCCTTCTTGCGGTAGCGGGCGGATCGCGTTGGGGTGTCTGAACGGTGGGTGCCTGCTGTGGAGTTGCTGCCGATGCTGCATTCTGTCTCGTCACTCGAGTTCTCGGACTCCTCGTGGGAGGAGGCGTAGGTTTTTGGGGTGGTCTTCTTCATGCTGGGGCGGAGGTGATCCAGTGGAGATGGTGATCAATGAAGACTGGAGGAGAGGGTTCAAGGGGCAACAAAATTGGAATATTAAATCGAATGAATGGGTTTTTTAAAAAAAATTTTTTTTGTACTTACGAAAACATTTTGATGAACTTCGGGATGAGGCTATGGTCGGGCTGCAGTCCTGGAAGGTTGAGGGAGGCGTCAGTGGGGCTTCGGGGGGATTTTTGGAGAAAGTCGTGGGGAGAACTGAGAGGGTCAGTCCATTTTCAGCACTTCTGGTGGGTGGCGACTCTTCGGGGATTTTCAGACGGTGCAGAGGGGAAACCCGGTTTTTAGACCTAGGCCTTCTTCGGAGAGGGTTAAGAGACGTTCGGCGAGCAGGAGGCAATTCTCAGGGTCCTGAAACAGGAGGCGATGTTGAGATTAATCACGAGGTGATTCAAAGTGAATGACTTCATTCATTCATTAATTTATTTCTGTAATTTAATACATGGTATTATTTATGCAGGGAAGTTCCTCCTGTATAATTAATAAGAATTAATGATAACAGAAGCAACGTAAATCATGACGGTAGAGCATGTCCAGTGATTGAACTAATCAGAACCAAAAATACAAAGTGAATGAGATTTCATAATTGGTTTTTGGGGAGTATCTCTGCACCCGAGGGAGATGGCGAAATTTTCCTTATAACCTTTTTCGTGGGGCTCGAAATTCTCTACAAAAATCATCTTAACGAAAATTCTGCTATCTACCACGGATTCGGAGATATTTACGGAAAACTGTCTAGAGAAAAACGACGAAGTAATTGAAAGAACAAAACTTTGACATTGGCTTTTATTTTCCGTTTTTATTTCACGAGCTTTTGCTGATCTCACTAGGCTCTCCAAAAATTTCGCCATTTCTCTCAGACCCCCAGACATTTCCCGAAAACTAATCTCAACTCGACTTGGGGGAGGATTAAGCACAATGAATGATACTTAATCGTCAATATCTCGAGATCGGCAGAGTGAAATTCAGCGCAATTGGCGTCATCTCCAAGCTATTTTTCTAACCTTCAAAATGAGATCAGACTCGTCGAAATCGCATCGTTGAGTCGGAAGATATTCAGGACTGAATCATCGCCGGTTCACCCCAACCCCTCGAGATAATGCAATTCCCACTCACCTGAATAACAGTGTTCAAAAATTTACGAATGCAGTATTTCCTGGAGAGTTCCTTGGCCTTGTGGTAGGTCATGCCAAAGGTCCCCGAGCTGTTGTGGCAATACACAAGACAGGCCGCCCCAGTCAGCACGTAGTTCTCATCAATGCAGTGGATATTGGACTCCACCTGAGCAAAAAAATGAATAAATCATCGAAAATTCATTCTCCCAAGAGTCTCTGGAGGTTATGTCTTTGTTGACACCCCCAAGCACTTGTTCACACTCCCCCAAGGCTCGAATAAATCCCCAAAAATATTGTCTCAACGACTTTATGAATGACTTACCTCTGATATGGAATGCGTCACTTGTCCATCAATAGCGAAAACAATGAAATCAACAGCCAAATTCGTCCTGGCTTTCACGACCTGCGACACTGACTCACACTGATGCACCACAAGCCGACATTTTCGCTCTTTGGCGACGGAGTGGAGGGACTCGGATATTTTTTCGCAGAGATCACTGCTGGCGACGACCTTGGGGCAGAGAAAAAAACGAGGAAATTGAGGCGGCACTTGTGGGGACGTGTTTCTGGGGGTGATTGGGGGGTTTAATTAATGACTTGTCTTACGAGGAAGGAAATTGTCGAGTCGCTCAGACGCACACCACTGCAGCTTCTCAGGACTCCCGCCATTATTTCAAATTTGGGCGGATTCTCATGAGGTTGAGGGAGCGCTAAATTGGCGCTAAATGTCTCTCCCACGTGTGGCACTATCATCCCTCTCTCTCTCTCGCCCTCCACGCCCCTGGCGCGCAGTGCGTCGTCCCGAAAAGCCATGTAGCGTCCTATCGTCTCGGCGGTTCAACGTTTTCGTCTTGTAATTTTATTCATTTTTATGTTTTTTTCGGTGGAATTTGTATCTGTTGCTGTTGATAGATTACTTATTTTTCGTTGGCGAAAGCATGGGTTAATGCTCACGACCCATTGACTCAGAATTCTGTTGTTTTCGAAGAGAGAAAGAAAGGTGAGACGAATTTTATTATGGCATTGGGATGGAGAGAGCCATTTTGGGGGATTTGCGAATCGTCATGGACAATTTCACTGCTTTCATCATTTTTTTTCCTGGAGAAAGCCAGTGAGATTTAAAAAAAATTGAAATGCGGGAATTATTGCATTCTATCGAGAATCAAAATGAAATAACTAATTTTATTTGGCTTTTTGTTTTTGCGGATTATCTCGGGATCGGTGGAAAATACAAGAATTTTCGTTCAGACATTTTGTGTAGATAATTTCAAGCCCCACAGGAAAGGTCTCGACGAAAATTTCGCCATCTCCCTCGGATCCAGAGATATTTCCTAAAAACCAATGATGAAATCTCGTTCACTTTGAATCATCCTTTATTCATTTGCAAAACGTTACAGCTAAATTCCCCAGGAGCACCAGAATCACTGGTCATCTCTCACTAAAATGGACTGCGTCGATGAAATGGCCCCCAGCGACCCTGAGACCCAGACTCAGTCCCAAACCCAGACCCAAACCCAGTCAGACGACACGTTGACTCAGTCCCAACCGACTCAGGAGGAGGTCAGGCCCTGGGGCAAGCTCGTTCCCTCAGTAAAGTGTCCAAATTTCAGTGCTGTCTGGCTGTACAAAGACGTCTATCGAGCTGGCAAGGAGGAGGATCACGAGATCATCTTCAACATCGATAACATCAAGAAGTTGGGCGTTGAGGTGATCAGCAGGCTCCACTTCACCATCGAGAGGCTCTTCATCAACACCAAGAACGATTTCGTTGTTATTCTGAGTGACCACAGCAGGAATGGTACCTTCGTCAACAGGAGAAAGATTGGAAAGAATAACAGGGTGGTGCTGGAGAATGGGGACAAAATAGCTGTGGGAAGGTCACAGTTCACTGGTGAGATTATTTTTTTTCATTTTGACTTTTCGACTTTTTGGGTTTATTCCATTTTTTTAATGAATTTTTAACTTCCCGACCCGAAGGAAGTTATTGTAATTGTCTTTGTGTTTTGTTTGGAATTTTTCTGACAAAAAAATCCTATGACTTTGGCCTTTAATATTTATGGGAAGATTTCTGGAATTTATAATGATTTTTAGAACAGGATAAAGAGATGTTTTCGCTTGAAATTGATGATTGGGAGATGATGAGGGAAAATTATTTGCATGAAAAAATTACTTTGTGATGTCTTCGCATGATAACAATTTTATAAACTATTTCTGCGTGTCGATAGGTTGAAATATTACCTGAATACGAACCTTTTGTGTTGTTATGATGTGGCGATGCTATCCTTGAAGAAATAATTTAATCTTGACAATTAGTCTTTAATTGTCAAGTTAACTCCGTTGAATTCTGTGTTTAAAAAACAGGAGAACGTTCTCCAAAATAACTACAAAAGCATTCGTACCTATTTTTAACGTCTAATTTCGCCCCCTCTGATGTTCAAAATTAACGCGATTTATTGAGGACTGATCACTAGATTGAATTTATTTATTCACTACAGACTCTACTGCTTTTCTCATTAATTATCACCGATTAAACAACCAAAAATGTGAAATCAGGGCTGTGAGAGGTATTAAATGACCGAAAATTAATCAACAAATGATGATTAATAATGAAATAAATTGTCCCAGTCAATCAGTGATTACTAATTAATTAATCAATTAATTACAAAAAAAATGAAAAACAATTCACACGATTTGTTGAGACTTCTGCAAAGTCTCCCAATTCGATCTCTCGAGACAATATTCTTTCGACGATAAATAAATTTCATTCATTGAAAATATGAATAATGAAGAAAATGTTATGGAAGAGAAAAGCCGAAGGCCTCGAGAATTGAGAATGACCAGAAAATTCGACACAAAATAAATTACTTACAATTTATCCTAAAACTTTGCTGAATTTGGCGACAACGGGAGTGCCAAATACCCAGTCTCCACGAAAAAAAGAATAACAATTAACCAATTAATTAAAATTAACGAAAAGACTCCACAATAGCAAGATATTATCATGAGTGTTTCATTTCTGTGTTACTTGTTGCCTCGGGCCCGAAATCCCTTCAAATATAACTTCGAATTTATTCGCGTCACTCTATTCACTTTCGACTATTTGAATATTTGGAGAGCGTTGACGACCGGGTGAAATGTCCAGTCTCAAAGGCATGGGTGACGGTGTCTCTACTAACAGCCCCACCCCTCATTTTTCAAGACGAAGATCCTGATTTTGATGTAGTGTTCGAGTTCGATGGGGTCGACTACTCGAGCAAAAGGCTCCCACATGAGTTGCAGAGTCAATATACCCTCCTCAAAAGGCTAGGATCAGGTGCTGCTGGTGAGGTCCACATGGCCTTCTCCAAGAAGTGTTTCAACACATTCGCTATAAAATCAATCTCCAAAGGGCGATACACAGAGCACGGCCCCAGGAATCCCCTGCACGATCCCAAGAAAATCCAACGAGAGGTGGACATTCTCCGGCAGCTCCAGCACCCCTGCATCATCAAGATGGAGGACATTGTGGACACTCCCTTCACAGTATTCATTGTCCTCGAGCTGATGGAGGGTGGCGAGCTATTCGACAGGATCTCCGCCAATGAGGGCCTCCCCGAGAGGGTCACAAAGTTCATGTTCTGGCAGATCTGCGATGCTGTGGCATACCTCCACAGCAGGGGCATCACCCACAGGGACCTCAAGCCTGAGAACATTCTGCTGGCCTCTGACCAGAAGTACCCACTGGTCAAGGTCTCGGATTTTGGAATGTCCAAGTTCCTGGATGCCGCATCAATGCTGATGACTTACTGTGGAACTCCTCTTTACGTTGCACCTGAGATACTCAGGCGCAAGGGGAGGGGGGCTTACACTGCGCAGGTGGACGTCTGGAGTCTGGGAGTGATACTCTACGTGATGCTGAGTGGACTCTGCCCTTTCACGCAGAATGACCCGCACATGGCTCTGGACGAGCAGATTTTGAAGGGGGTTTACAGGTTCCATTCCCAGAAGTTCGATAAGGTCAGCATGGAGGCGATTGATCTGGTGAGTCATGATTTTTTTTGGGGGGGAATGGGCGAAGGTCGAATGACCTTTGAGGACGTTCAGGGGTGAGGGTCAAAGGACTTTTAATTGTGTGGAATTGAAGGTCAAGTGGCTTTGGGGGTGAAATGATAAAATGATCTTTGAGGACGTTTTTAGTTGAAGGTAAAAGGGTTTTGAGGGTCAAATGACCCTTGAAGAAGTTTATGGTTGAGGGCAAAATGGTTGTGAAGGTCAAACGCCCTTTAAACATGTTCTGGGTCAAGGGTCAAATGATTCTGAAGGTCAAATGATCTTCAAAATACGTTTGAAGGTCAAGGACAAGTGTTTTGAGGGTCAAATGAGCCTTGAAGAAGTTTGTAGTTAAGGGTCAAATGGTTTTGAAGGTCACCAAATTTTTAATGACGCTTGGAGTTGCGTGTCAAGTGATTTTGAGGGTCAAATGAATCTTAAGGACCTTTTGAGTCAAGGGTCAAATGGTCTTAAGGGTGGAACGAACCTCATAGACCTTTCTAGTTGAAGGTCAAACGATCTCGAAGGTCAAATGACCCTTAAAGAAGATCCGAAATGAACGTGAAATAGTCTTGAGGGTCAAACAACCCTTCAACAAAAAAAAATTAATAAAATTAATTAAATTAATCAATGAATTATTATTAATTAACTAATTATTAATTAATAGTAATTCATTTGATTATTAATTAACTAATAATCGGCGGTTGATTATTAATTAACTAATAATTAATTAATAATAGTCGATAATGAATCAATTAATTTTGTTTTTTAATTTACATTGATTAATTATTCAATTTCATTGCTCTATAAATTAATTCATCCTCAGATAAAATCGATGCTGACAGTCAACCCAGGCAAACGCAGAACGATAAAGCAAGTGCTAGAACACCCCTGGCTTCGTTCAGATCTAGTTGTTTCAAATGCTGTGACAAAGCTGATGAGGGAGAACTCGAGTAACGAGAACGCCCCACCCCTCAACGTGCCATCCCTGCAGACCGACAGAAACAGGGATCACGTTTTCGATGTACCTGGCTCGAAACCAAAGCGAGCGCGTCTCGGATAGTGGTCCCCAGAAGGGCCCAAGTCCCAAATAATTCACCCCTCGTACAAATTAAGTACTAAGGACCCTATTTTTTTACTCTTATTCGACTGTTAGTGTATTTTTTTCATTATCACATTCATTAATTAATCGATACTGACGGGTCTGACCCTTGATGACACCTGTGATTGTGCACTGAGGCTATGATTGCGATAATTAAACGTTAATTTATATGATTCTAAGGAGAAAATATATCACATTGTTATTGATATTGTGAGAAAGTGCCAGAGAGCGTTAGAAGCCTCAGACTGACGGCTAATGATAATTTGAAAAATTGAGAGTTTATTTAATTAGTCAAACGAATGTTACCAGATTAGATAGTACGGAACTTAAATGACAAGTTTATGATAAATTTAAGGAAATCTTGACTTTGTAATTTCTCGCATAATTTTTTGTTCCGGTAAATAAATTAAACGACAATAAAAAAATTGACATTTTTTCGTACTATGGCATTGATTAATGGTTCCCGGATTTTTTTCCCTGTGAAGAATCCCCCGGATGACGATTTTTGTCATTAACTTTTACGTTTTTTCATTTTGCAGTACTTCATTTTTTTTTAGTTTGAAGTATTGCATTGATCAAGAGAAATAATTAATCAATTAATGAATAAATTAGTTAATGATGAGGTAAGTTCGATATTTTAACGTTCGCAACAGCTTTTGAGGGATTAATAACTGCAAAAATGCGGAAAAAATTATTTGAAAAATATTTAATAATAAACATTGACAATATACAGAGAAAATACGCCATAAGAAGTCGCTATGGGAGTAATTAAGAACCTAATAACTGGTCCAGACTTACAAAATATCAAATCAGACAATGATAAATGTGTCGTTACAGCCTCGAAACACCTCTCGACATCATCATCTAATGAAATTTCACTCGGTGTTATTCATCAACTCTCACTCCTACGTTCTTATCGTTTTTTTAATTATTAATAATTAATATTTACTCATCTGTTCCTTCATTGGATTCAATTTACACTGCGAGAAGCAAAATGAGTGGCCAGTAGCTGTGGATACTTCATTTCGTTTTCGGTTTATTATCAGGGTAAATTTTTTTTTTAGGATTTCAATGGGTATTTGCCTCTACCTTAATTAAAAATGACAATTACTCTTTAATTAGTTAGTTCTGCGCTGTTTTTCCAGTGGTTAAAATTTTATTCAGATTTTTTACACGCACTCCAGGGCTCGGGCCATCATCCTGGAGATGATTTTCACTTTTGCAAACAATTTTCGGTGAACAATATCACTTTTCACGCCAAAACCATTGGGTATAATTTTTATTTCGAGCGTTATTACACAATTTAATGGCTTTGAAACGACTCCTGATCGTCTCAACCTCGAGGAAATAATTTTTCCCACTTTTATTCTCCCCTTCTCGGTGAAATTAAATTTTTGAGTTTTGTACAAATGCAATTGGGACTCATGCATTGTGCGATTAGTCATTTTTACATACAAATTATTACAATGATATTGAAGAGACTTGGTGCAGTCCCACGTACACTAGGATATGTTGTTCGAGTCAATGAATTTCGGTATTTTTTCATTTCAAATAATACGATTAACAATTTTTATTTCCAATCGTTTGTTGCTCTGGGTCTGCTTATTAGGCCCATTCATTCTTATCAACCCTCGACTAATTGTTCTTTGTGCAGTTAACGATGAAACAAGGATTTAATTACTCTTCACCCAATTAATATCGAGAGTTCGGGATGATGAGGCTCTCCTCTCATTTTTTTTTATTCGTTTGAGCTTGACTTACTCTAGCTGCTACTCATGTTGTAATGAAATTTCTCAATAATTTCTCGTTAATTATAGCCTACCAATAGAGGTAATTAATCACGAATAGTATAAATCGTAATTACATTAATTAATATACAGGGTTTTAATAACTTCTCTTCATGAAATCTCTCTTAAATTTTAGGGGGTGGGGGCAGGGAGGAGGGATAAACAAATAACGTGAAAGAGAGCAAAAATTGTCATGGAAAACCGTGTTTATGAGCAAGTGGATTTCAATTAATTAATTACAAAAAAAAATGAACAAAAATTGTATAGAAAAAAAGTAGAATTCTTTAAAATAATTACAAAAGTATTAGTATTTAGTTTTAATGACTAATTTCATCCCCTCATGTTTTAAAATTAACGCGATTTGTTGAGGACTCTGCAATGGCTGTTACAGTTAATCACTAGATTGAATTTATTTACTTATTACAGACTCTAAGTGTTTAATTTTCTTTCTCATTAATTATCATCAATTAAAGAACTATTACAAGAAAGTGAGTATGTCTGAGATAATCTGCAATTGAGTGGAATAATCCCAAGAGCTTGTGAGAGGTAGTGAGTGGAGGAGAAAAATTTATCAACAAATGATGATCAATAATCAATTAAATTGTTCCACTCAATCACAAAATCATTCAATTAGTCATCAATCGTCTCGTCTCTCTCACATATCTCAATTTACTGATTTTCATTTTTATTTATTTTGTGCAATGACACTATTTGTCGTTATGTACAGAAAAATCTCACAAAAATCTCACGTTTGTTTTTTTTTATTCATTTTGTCTCATGATTCCTCGTTAATCCTTTTGCTGATCAGATATTAAACTTTAGATCGTTAATTACTAGGCTAATCTAGCGAGGATTATATTAAAACATAACGAACGCCATCGACTAATCCCCTAACATCTTCATATTTGGCTATTTCACACGACTTTAATTATTTTAAACGTTTTTTTTTAAATCCTCATTTTCGTGCACATGTTTATTTTTACCCCCAAAAATAATCGAAAAATCGATGAAAAGTGGTCGAAAAAAATGAACGTGAGGCTTTTTACACGTTCCTCATACCGCCAAAAGTCATCAGTGATGCATGAAAAAAAATTCATTCCATCAATTAATTTTGCATTAATTTTTCTTCTTTCAATGCAACAAGACCGACCCTTCGTGTGCGTACGACTTCTCACTCGGATGTGCGCAATGAATTTTCAAAGAGAAAATAATTCATAAGAAAATTGTCAACAGTGTTCTCACGAGATTTAATTACCCCTTAATTAACTTAACAGTAATCAAATTCTCATTAAAAAAAAAAAGAGAGAAATGTCATGTATCGCCTTAACTTAGTGGTAAATAAATAAGTTAATCGTCGAATTTAATTTTTTTCATTCAATTTTTAACTTGAGATTAATTATCCCACTTAAATTTATGAGTTGTATGTACGTTCATAAGTTGGCATGTACGTCGGTGATAATTATCGTCAGGAAATAATCTACGAGTTGTTAACGCTTCGAGATAAATTCGACTGAAGAATTTTACAATTTGTGGGATTTATGGGGCAGGGGAGAGTGGGGTAATATAGAGCGGGAAAAATGATTGAGGATAATTCAGGGAAATCGGTGGGTCATTTTGAGGGCCAAATGCCCGGTCGAAAGGGTCAATTGAGCCTCAAGACCATTTGACCTTCAATTGAATGAGGAAATGAAATTTATTGACTTTTTTTGGGTTCAGTTGAGGGTCAACTGACCATTCAAGACCATTTGACCCTCAAAATCGAAAAACGAAAAAAAGTCTCGACTTTTTTCGTCTTTAGCTGAGGGTAAAAAATTCCTGAGAGTCAAATGACCCTTAAAAACGCTTTGAAAGTCTCCTAAATTATCCTAGACAGCCATTTCCCCGTTTCACTCCCCTCTCTCCCCCCCCAGTAAACTATGAGTTAAAAACGCGTTTGATTGTGTCCAGTTATTCCTCTGTGACTAGACCCTGTTTTTACCAGAATCCAATTTAAACTCACGAAAAAAAAAAAAAATTCCAGTTTCCATCATCAATAATTCCCCAATTGCTCGCAATTCAATTCGATTAATTAAACCGACACCTTAACCATTTTTCCCAGCCAATTGAGGAGTTACTTTGATCTGAAATTTAAACTCTAAAATGTTCTATTTCACTTTAACGCTTTAATGTTAACGGTTTTGGTTCGTAGAACGACCTACACACATATTTGGCATAGAAATCTATCCAACGCACGTATTCTAAGTCGTACTCTAGCTACCTAATTTATTTTAATTATTTTATTTCTGGAAAATTGATTTATTCTGCTCTCTCATCACTTTGTTTTTTTTTCCCATTTCTCATTTTCCGATTATTTTTGCCTCTCGGTGATTGTTATTCTGATGATGTTGAGTAAATCAATTTTCGTTTTATTGTGGAGAAATAATTTTTAACGATTAAAAAGCGAATATTCCAGTGATACTCGATATACAACTATATTACAATTTGGCGAATGATCCCAATGTGAGGGTGGAGGCTTATTGGGGCTCTTCAGGAGTTTGTGCGAATCTACAGAGTCCCAGGAACATGATGAGACCCTCGGTGAATTGTTCTTCGGGGCTCTGAGGTCTTCGGTGGGACGAGGGGGTGGAGGGGTCCTCTGGGGGGAGGGGGTCCATCAGTTCGAGGGAATGAAATGATGATTTTTTTTTGTTTAATGGGGAGTTTCTGGTCGTGATCTGATTGGTTTTGGGGTTTAGTAGGGGGTGAACCTGTTGTAGCCACCTCTGTACACCGTCGCCTGGGGGAGATGATAAGAGAATTAATAAATTTGATGCATTCAACGATATTAATTGGAAAATGTTCTGATGTTGACTTGATGTGGGTAAGTAAAATGAAAAGTTTTCAATCTTCAATATCTTGTGACCCAACGATGCAATTTGGACGAGTCTGATCTCATGTTAAAGGTGAAAAAAATAGCTTTAAAATGACCCCAAACTCGATGATATTCACTCTACCGATCTCGAGATATTAGCGATTGAAGACGGTTCATTCTGCTCAACTCATTATTTCATCGTTTTTCTCCAGAAGGTTTTTCGGGAATATCTTCGAATCTGTGGGACGTGGCAAAATTTTTGTTCCTATGATTTTTGTAGACAATTTTGAGACCTACAAGAAATGTCATAACGAGAATTTCGCTATCTCCCTCGGATTCCGAGATATTCAAGAAAAATCAAATTCATAAAAAAGGATTTTACTATTTTACCAATTCAATTATTCTTTTCGAATCAAACAAAATAATTGCAGATTAATTACTCACCCCATAATTTGTCATCGGTCCAATGCTGTGTCCGAGGTAGGGGTCGGCGTATTCTCGTCCATACCTGAGGAAAAAATTAACGAAAAAGAAATTATTGAAGGGAAATATAACACCGAAAATCTTTGATTTTTCGGTGGTTAATTTTTTCTCTCTGAGGAACATTGTAATGAATGAATTTTGAGGATAGGTGATAGGTAAATACAAACACGGGTATCAGGATTCAGGTGCGGGAGTATCGGAATCATTTTTACGGCTACGAATGGCGCGACCACGGGGTTTCTTCCTGAAAAAAGTGGATTAACCGAACAACAGAATGAAAAAATAATGTCTTGGATTTGTCAACTGTGAATGATTTCTGTGGCATTCCTATGGAGAATGGAATTTCATCTGGGACTCGCTATAGGATTTTCTATAGATTCTTGTGACCCTTTTCTATAGATTTTCTATAGTCGATTGTATAGCATTTTATATAGATTATTCTATAGATTATATAGAAATCTATGTAATTCTATAGATTATAGAGATTTCTATAGATTCTATAAATTTCTATACGTTCTATAAATTTCTATAGATTCTATAGATTTATGTAGAGTTTTCTATATCGACAGATATGATCTATCAATTCTATAGAATCTATAGAATAATCTATAGAATTATATAGATTCCTAAAGATTTCTATAGAATCAGCTATAGAAATTTCTAGTCGGCTATAGCATTTCCCATGCTATTCCCTATCCCACACTAAAATCTTCTATAGAATTCATTCTATAGAATTTTATAGCATTCTATAGAATTTTATAGCACTCTATAGAATTTTCTATAGATTTTTTTCTCACAAGTTTTCCGCTAGGATTTTTTCAGAGTTGTGTGACTCATCTATCATCTTCTATAGAAAATAAATTCTATAGCGAATGTCTGAATGCAAAAGTCTCCCTCTAAATTTCACTAATTCTGATGAAATTAAAACAAACAGAACAATTGCCAGATGTTGATAATTACCCAGTGACTGCAGCATATCCGGCGACTGGTTGTGCCGCACCGTAGGCCGCTCTTGCCGCAACTGCTGTGTATGTGGCAGCTGCGGCATACGTCGCCTGCTGTGCCGTTGACAGGGGTGTCTTCAGGAGTGGTGAGGCTGCGGCTGCTGCTGCTGCCGCCTGTAACAGTCATACAAGCACATGCAAGCTCTCAAGCAAGGCTCGGAATACCAAAAATCTAATCTCGCGATTTAGGGCGGCGACGGGGGGGGGG